TAACACTATGCACATTGCTTTTACAATTAATATTCTAACTATTATAGTACAGTTAAACAATATGTCCAAACACAATAGAATTAATATAACGACATTTGGCCGCCTGACACTGTTTGTAGTGACTGAAACTATAAGTGTTGTTTTTGAGTTATATATACTTTGAAATGTCAACAAAAGTATGGATAAAAAGTAAAAAATAACGTTATTGATTGTATATAGGTACCCAGATATTGTGGCTTATAGGTGTAAGCTTATTTAAATCACGAATTTGACTACCTAGTCATTTCTCATTAGCAGTGTTTGTAAAGAACGCTTTCTATTTTGGTGAACTTTCCGAACACTGGTCAATAGTATAAAGCTAATGGCCCTCTTTGCCAAATCTAACTTAAAGAAAAACAAATATTTAAAAAACATTTTCTTAAGATAGTTGAAGAGTAAAATAATATTATAAAATTATTGACATTGGTGTAGGTGTACGATAACATTTAAATAACTTAGCTTGATTACACGTCCACTGATTTATATTAAATATGCAGGTTTATTTGATTATTTTCAATATTCTTGTATTCAAAACTAGACACTGTTTGTAGTGACTGAAACTATAAGTGTTGTTTTTGAGTTATATATACTTTGAAATGTCAACAAAAGTATGGATAAAAAGTAAAAAATAACGTTATTGATTGTATATAGGTACCCAGATATTGTGGCTTATAGGTGTAAGCTTATTTAAATCACGAATTTGACTACCTAGTCATTTCTCATTAGCAGTGTTTGTAAAGAACGCTTTCTATTTTGGTGAACTTTCCGAACACTGGTCAATAGTATAAAGCTAATGGCCCTCTTTGCCAAATCTAACTTAAAGAAAAACAAATATTTAAAAAACATTTTCTTAAGATAGTTGAAGAGTAAAATAATATTATAAAATTATTGACATTGGTGTAGGTGTACGATAACATTTAAATAACTTAGCTTGATTACACGTCCACTGATTTATATTAAATACGCAGGTTTATTTGATTATTTTCAATATTCTTGTATTCAAAATTTTACGAGCTCATTCATTAAGTATTAAATCTGGTCTGCTGATAAAAATGTAATTGTTTGTTCAGAAGTCCATGTCTTCTTTAATATAATATTTATAACAATATGTCTACTGGAATTATGTCACCATACATGACATTACAATAATTACTAATTAGTCGTATAGTGATGTACGGAAAGAGTTGTAATAATAATTAGACATCAGAGCTACACTAAATAGAAAACAGACCAACATTTTGAAATTAAATAAAGTGAAATGCATGTGTAAATTAAGTTTAGGAAATAAACTAATATATTAACTAATTTATCTTACATAAATTAACTAGTAGCGCTATGCAGGCGAGGATCCAGAAAATGTAAACAGGGGGTTCTCAAAAAACGAAAAAGGTTATAGCTGGCTATTGTAGATTACATAATTTAAAATACAAATTTATTTTATTGCCCGGGCATCCATAGTCGCCTCCCTGAATCCATGCCTTTTGCGATGTTATTAATGTTATTTAAAAAGTGAATAAATTGATAAATTGACGTATAAGTTATGCATTCAATTATCGAGTACTCTAATGACCTATAAAATCGATCTCATCAATATTGTCATTATTAGTTTTATAACTGATAATATATATTATAACATATAACTTATTGAACATTGTCATTATTAACTTTATTATTAAAAAAATACATCAATGAATTCTTCTTTACCACTATTTAATCAACATTTCGAATAACCATCTATAGTCGACGCATTTTTTTTTTATTGAGATGTAATAATCATTTTTAAATTATTATATAATAGTAACACTGTACAATACGATTTCAACCACTTTTAATATTTCCATCAGTTTAAACCAATATCGGATGTGTAGGTAGTAGAACAGTAGGAACCTGGTAGAAGAGTTACCAACGTAAAATCTGAATCCAATTTCCTATCGATTACATAAGCTATTTTAAACTTTTGAAACGCGTTTACTACTATACGAAAATTGTTTTTTTTTTCGAAGAAAAACAGTGCATCTGTTTGAAAACCAATCGCCTCGTCGTTCCTTCCGGAAACAAAAAAAAAAGGTAATTTTCAATTTTGTTTTATCTGAACGTCGAAAAAAAGCTATCAAAATAAAAATAAAATATTTATTTTCTACTTTTTCGCATTACTAAGTATACACCTACATATTTATTTTATATTTTATATAAAATCACGCGAGTAACACAATGACGCACGTTTTGATGATATCGTTTGTCATTTATAAAACGTATTACATATCAACAGATAAAATCATACAGTATCGCTTTAATACAACAACTGGCGTTCTAAACGTTCTGTAAAATCTCGTTCGAGACACACATGACACATTAGCATCGGAGAGAATATAATTGTACATATAATTATTGTAGACCATGACATAGGTACCTACTATAGCTACCTACATATTTTGGTTCCCGAAAGAGTGAAAAAATAAACCAGAACGATACCTAGTCCCTCTGAGAAATAATTAATAATAATTCGTTTAGAGGCTGTGGTAGGTTAGATAGGTAGGTAGATAAACTGCAGATAATTGGTCAAATATTTAAATTTGAAGACAATCACTACTGAATACACGATATTTGATAATATTATTCTATTCTTCAGTAGTCGAGATATTATGAGTCATAACTCATAAGTTATAAGTTATGGCCACATTAGAGTAAATAATAATACACATTCCTCTGTTCAAAAGATACTATTATATTTTCCCTTGGTACATTTATAGTTAACGAAAACTTCAGATTTCGTACACTAGATTTGGGTCACACCGAGAGGGTAATATATTAAAACCCATAATTTAATTATACTTTTTTTTCCTCGGTGCTTTGAAACGAAATATAAGAAACTACAAGAGCAGATCTAATTTAGAACTTCGCCTTTCCTCGATTCGATGTGTACGTGACAGCCTGAATGATTTCGTCTGATTAGATGTGATTTAAAATTATCTCTCATAGAAAATCTTATCATTTTGGTTATATTTATATTTTAAAAAACGGGGAAAATTCAGTGGTGGTTCTAGCTTACGAACACGATGGGCTAATGCTTGTAAAAATTGCTGGTGCAACTTATTGACAAATTAAATAATGTACCCACTACTAATATTATGAAAGTTCTTCGAGGAAACTAACATAAAGATTTTATTAAAAAAATATAGGTGGAGGGAGGAATTATATTCACAATTAAAACCTCTCTTGTTTCAAATTGATCTGCTGTATAATAGGTATCGAATTTATCTTACCATTTACTAATTAGTAAAATCATTGCATACGAAAAACGATTCTGTTAGCCTGTAATACAAAAAAGATATTTTATTGTACGCTTATATTAGAATTAGTAATTTATTTTTTTATATTAGAACACTGTAGGTTAAACAAATTTTTGCCAAACACATTTAATTTATTAAATTATTTATTATTATAATAATATTATGCATATTGCATGTATTTCATATATAATTGTTATTATTTACGTTTAAGTTAATACAGACTTACCATAGAACGGTGTGAATAGATTCTTAAAACTAATATGAATATTATTAAAATACCATTATATTTAGTTAATAATAATAGGTATCTATATTACACAATAATAAAAAATTTCAAGTCTATTCTCATATTTTTTTTTTAAATTTCACCAATATAACTGTACTCGATATTTTTCTTTTAAACTAAAAACGCATGAAAAAAATGTCGCATAACATGTATGTTTTATATTTTTATATTGCGGTACAATCAAGTTATGAGGGATCTTGTATTCAATTTCCAAACTCTTTGACCTGGTATAAATATCTTATCGACATTTGCAAAATAAACTAACAAAAATCGACATTTAAAATGCCTATAAAACTTAAAATTGATCTTTTACATCCTAATAACTAAAACCAATTAATGAAAAGTCTTTATTTTTCTTATAAATATCCAATCTTGGCTAAAAAAAAATTGATTTGGGTTCCTGTAAAACTTTTTTTATTTCTTGGAAAGAAAACTTATAAGAAACCTTATTTTCAAGCCCAAGTATTATGATTAAAAAAGTTATGAATTTTTAATTACAAATTGTTATTATGTTGACGAATTTCAAAGTGTGAAATTTAAACCCTTTAAACAAATTTAAATTTAAACGGTTTTAAAAAAATTGTATTGTGTTTTCGATATTTTTTTTATTTCTATAAGCACAACATGTGTAATATCAAGAACTACCCACAAAGTTGAAGATCAAAGCATTTTTTCTACTATAAAAAGTGTCAAAGGACACAAGAAACAAAAAATTTTACAAACATCATTGTAAAACCAATACATTTATCCCTCCACCTTGCAGAACCTAAAACCCAAAATTTGTTTGATGATAACGTCATATGGTTTTGTTCGTTCACTAACCTGTGAAATAAACCTACACAGTGTGAATAATTAATTTGTTCATATGAAAACTTAAATCATCAAACATTTCTGGACTTTCAACAAATATTGTAAATTGCTATTTTTAATAAAGTGACCCAATATTAATAACAGGACTTTCATATTACATCTGGCCTAACTAATACACATCGAAGTAGTCTTGACGTTTCTACGTTGGTTCGAATTTAAAAGAATAATGGTTTGATTCCCAAACGCGGTTTCACTATAATAATAATAAAAACATTATTTTACTGGCTCCGATATTGGAAGAGATTCGTTGGCGCAATTACTTTTTCCCATCGTCCATAATGGCCTATTATTACCGGGAAGCCAAATAATCGTTAAACGTGACTGCCACGCGCATATTGAATTTTACTGAAAATCGTTGTTTACAAATTATTGAATAGATTTATTTTTACAACCGGGTGTAATAATTGATAACTACGACCAAATAACTAAAAATAATCAAATAACTAACACCACCCACCAACTATAATCTTATATACCTGTTGCCTCATTCGAATTGATTACATTTTTTTTTTCAGATTCCAGTACAGATATGCAGATAAGCTTGGAAAATCGAAAACAGGTTCTCGAACGAGCAGTACAAACAGAAGAGACGAGAATCGTACCGGAATCGTAATCGACAAACAATTTCGATCGTACAATATCTTTTCCTACCCGAATCCCCAGCTGAAAGCACAAAGGTACATGGGCATGACTGAAACAATCGTTATGTTTTCCGGAGGTTTTAAGAACTTACCAAGTTGCAGAGGCGTGTAATAACAATAATAATATTATAAATATAACAACAATGATACGAGAGTGGCCATATCAAAAAATTAAAATTATATTATAACTACTAGTTAAAAAAAAATTGAAAAGTTTTTTTGCTTGTAAAAACTATTTAACTCCCGTGAACAATTTTAAAATAAACTAAGTTGATTCATTGAGCTTTTCTAGAAACAAGTAAATATGTATGTATTCTTCAACTTTTGAATTAATCAATTCCAACCATTAAGTTATTGACATTCGAAAGCAGTATATAACGAAAATATAGAGTATTAAAAAAGCTCTTGAAAATCGTACCTATACTATTTCTGTAAATAATATATAAAATATTTAATAATATAGGTAATTATTATAAAAACATGTTAAATTATCAAATTATATAAAAAAAAAAATATATACAAAGTAAGAAAAAAAAATCTGAAAGACTTATAATTGTTTGAGGCCAATAATTATAACGTGCATCGTGTCATAAAATAACTAATTTTAAAAATAAATAAAAGTTTAAAAATATATTTAATTAAACCAGCATATTATTATGGAAATAATTTAACTTTGCTGAGCGGCTGTTGTCTGTTTTAATTTTGAGTACAATGTAGGTACTTAACATAAATTAGGAAATAACTTCTTTGTTTAGTTGAATTGTATATTGCTAAAGAAGTTAAATTGTTTCTCGTAATTAAACTAGGTACTTTAATTTAATATAATTTGAAACAGTTTTTTTTTCTAAAATTAATTATTATGACATTACATTACTTAACCTGTAAATGACATGAGTAACAGACGTTTTAAAATTATTTTTTTTATTCAGTTGGTTTTTTCACACAGCATTCGCTAAGTTTTTTGTTGATACCATAATGTCACTAACGGAACGCCAAGTGGTGAGAGATGTACAGATACCTTTATATACTATATTATGTATATTTGTGGCCTCGTCAACGTGCAAGGCGGTAGCTGCAGTTTGTTTGCCGTTTTGTCATTCCAATTATAAATAATTGCAGAACCCTTTCATTTTGCCATACAACTCACTAAGTCGGATTATTCTAATCGTTTTGGAAATTACAAAAGCATCATCTGCGACGTATAACTACTATTATTTCATTAATTGTACCTACACGAATATACGATGTGGGTGAGTTTAAATTATCCGGCGGTCTACTTAGTACCTAGTTAGATCTTCCGAAACAGTGACGAATTTAACCTTTAACCCGCTCGCGGAAGGTTGACTGAATTTTCCTTTTTGATGAAGAACACGAATAGTATATACGACATAATACAGTTGAATGTGAATGTGCATATGATTATAATATGACACTAATCTAATCCGGGTGTGTTTGCGTAGCAATATGTCAAACAGTAACATTTCTCAGACATTTGTTCGACATTTGACAGTCAATAGGTCAAACTCATATTATTTTATAACTTTTTTAAATTTATTTAATGGCCCATATCATTTGGGTAAAACGTTATAACGAAAGATAGAGTAGGACGTCATTCAAATAAATTTGTATTTAAACAATTATGTGAATAAAATGTTATTTGAATAATTTTTTATTCAAATACATTCTTTGTAATCATACGAATATAAATTTATTTAAATTATTTTTTAAAATTAATGTTCAAATCGTTTTTAAGTTCAACTGACGATCTAATAAAAAATAATAATGTAAAACAATTATTGCGTAGAAACATTTTTTGAATAATTTTTTATTCGAATAATCTGTTTGAAAATTATTTGAATGATTATAAAAAAGTCATTTGAATAATTATTTAGATAAAAATTTGCCTAACTCTGCAGTTTTATTTTTTTAACGTACTTCGCCATTTGCACGAATGTGACATCGTTGTGAATGGTATAAAGCAACTCAGTTCGAATAATTTTTAAGGGTGTCCTTCAGCATTTCACTTACAATTATCTCTTAATATTTGTCTTTTTTTTCTTTTAATTTTTTTTTTTTTTATTATTATTGAACATAATCATCTTCATTGTTCGGCATTTGATGCTTGAAAAGATTTGCCAACCACCGTTAATATACTGACACTATAATTTATATTTGAACACTTTCACTTCATTAATTTGACTGTTTTATCTTATTAATGAGTATTCATAATTATTAAATAATACTAATTCTTTTCCACATTCAGAATTAATAATTTTGAAATGTTCCATTTTAATAAATAATATTTAATATTTTAAAGCTGTCCACCAAACAGCTGAATTTGAAGACCACTTATCCAAAAATGACGGTTTTAGAGGCAATATTATTATTCATAACTATTTACAATGTTGATAACCAGTCTCCATACACGATATTGTATTTATTTTATTTATTACTTTACTATATTATACAATAGTGTAAACAATTAAAACTGACAACGTGGCGAGGAAAATTATTCGCAATCGTTTGAATTGTTGGTACAACATATTGTTTGTTTGATCTGCTGACAACCATTCGCCAATTGTGAAAGTTAAGACACCCACAGTCGTGTAGCACCGAAAATTGTTTACCACACATAAAGGGTGTTTCATAAAGAACGCAATTTTTGAAATGCTGGGTAATTTTTTGATATTAGATTGGTGGGACTTTTCTTATAACTGTGACCTAGGGTTGTAATTTATTTGTCATCATAGAGCGATATAATATCAAGAAACGTGTTGATATGTCTATTAAAATTCATTATAAATGTGGCGAGTTTGTTCCGGCAACTATCAGGAAACTTCTTACAATCTTGGGACACTTATGAAACACCCAAGTGTTTTTAATTTTGATCCTTAATTTCGCATTTTATCTTCTCTCTTCAGATTTACTGACCATCCTCGTTATTGTGGTTGCGGTTGGTACTTCACGGTGTCCTAGGATCAAACAAAGTTTCTTAACAGTTGCCTCAACACACTCACTGGGTTTTATTGGAAAAAACACGTTGCTAGGTTGTATACCGCTCCATGGTGACAAATAAACAAAATACACAATATATTGGTCAATTGCTAAAAACTTCAACAACCGTAGGTAACAGAAATCATAATAAAAGTCCCATCAACTGAACAACAAAAATTTACCCAGCATTTCAAAAACTACATTTTTATGAAACACCATACACAAATGAAAATATTGAAATTTAAATAACAAAAAAAAAACGGCGTAAATCGATTTCAAAGACTATTGATGTAGGTGTATTATAATATGTTTACTACGTACTTGTACCACAATGAGCGTGCAATGATAATGTAAAATACTTGTCTGGTAACTTTTTCCGTATGAATCGACGATTACCGACAACGTGTTGAAACTACTAAATGAAGTAGGTACCTACATGCAGTGTAGTTGTATAAATTTTTATTTTGACACGTTATAAGTAAATTTCAAAAGTTTAAAAAAACTACATATTTCATAAAATGGGGTGCAATTGTTGTACAAAAATTGTCGTTGGGCCCATAATAATAAAATATTTATGCATCGCGGTTATTCGGCATTATTTTTCCGGTAGTTTCCTACCGGTTGGCTTAATGCCACTCGTAACGTCAGACGATTACAAAAACGAGGATTCTACGCTCAAAAAGGGTCTTGGCTGAAGTGTCTGCTGTCGAACTTGCCCGTCGAAAAGTTCAAAACCGTATTTGTTAAACGTTGTTTAGAAAAAACGTTTGACCGTAAAAAAAACCCTCGGACGCGTTAACGTCTCTTCCTCGTAATTAAATTTCTGTGAAACCGATTTCGACAACGACGGTAAAAATGTCACGTGCAATTTGCTCGGGCTGGCGCGTAAAAATCGAAACTAAAAACGAAAAACAAAAAGTAAACGACGAAATATTTCACGCGTCGTTTTATCTCTAACACGCAGCTCTCTCAAGGTTGGAGAAAATGGTTCGTGAAATCGGATCTCCAGGAAAAATCTCTTCAGACATTATATATTCTTAGGGTCACTGACTCGCCGTTTGGCTGACCTCGACAACAGATACGTACAGCGCTGTGCACCTACCCGATTTGGTTGACAAGACAAGCGCAACCCCCCCCCCCCCATAACCAGACGTTTACACGATCGCATTCCTGTGTTACCAATGTCTGTGGGTTTACCAATACTATACGAGTACACTTGGCAGAAATATCCGATATTAGTATTAAAAATCGTTAAAAAACGTTTGAGTATAGCACCTCAATATAAACTTACCTATTGATTTCAATTTAGAAAACTCACAGATCAAAATTAGTACATTATTAGTGGAATTTCAAGTGGTAAAAATATTTTTATAGTGAATGCTACTATTTGTTTTATCATATCTATCATACTTCTACTAATAAACTTCATATACTATAATTAAAAAGATGATTTTTTTATATTATACTACACGCTTTAACTATAAAATTTATTTTTTATAACATACGTAATAATGATAAAAAAAAAATGTTATTTTACTGGTACTTTGTTCAGTACAATGATTTTAGTTTTTAGTTTCTACTATGGAAAATGTTATCTAAATTCGTTATTTATTTAAGTTCAAGAGTGTTTGTCAATATGAAATTAATTATTGTAGGAGGTTTTTAGCAACACAATTAAATATTGCCTAGACACTGAGAAAAAACCATTTAATACAGATACAAATAAAAACTGTATTTAATAATAAATAGACATTTTAGGCAAGGACTCCCATAGGTATGCGTCACTACCTGTGATTAATTGTAGTTGTGTATAATAAACGACTCAAGTTCGAACTAGGTGCTCAATAACTTTAACTTATCGGCATCCATTCATTAAGTGCACTTCAAACTCACGGTTGGGTTACAACACATTTCTCTGTGCAAATACCCCTAAAACCCAAGCATTATTTAAATATTTTAATTTCATCTCAAAATATACTACACAATTTTATGAAATATCTTATGTCACCTTTCTCAATATCCATATTAATTGAATTAATTGAATTGATTGTTAATATCTAACCAAATATATATTTTAATGATCTCTATCATTATACTTCATTATTCAATTCTCTGCGATTCTTGATGACGACGACCAAAGGGTAAAATAGAGCATATTGTTCAATATTTGTTAATAAATACGTCCAAGAACAACACT